CTCTTTTCATGAGAATTTCCAAAGTGTGCCTATGAAATCTTTACTAAATCAAACAGGTATACCTATTCCTGAAAAACATTTCTGGTTTCAGTAGCTGAGACATATTTTAAGAAAAAAAAAAACACTTGCAGAGCTTCCACCAGATATAGCTTGATGCATTTTGTGCCCCTGTAGACTCGCATCTCAAATTCCAACTGTGTGCTAGTGCTTCGAGCCAAGAAATGAACCCGACTGCACAGCTTTGCAGCTGTAATGGCTTCATATTTGATGATATTTACAACCTATTTAGTCTTTCAAAGCACAAGAGGACTATGTTTAGGATTTCTTAGAAACCAAGCTGAGCCAGCAGAGCTGTGGCTCACAAGACCTGTGCTGCTTCCCTGATGTTACAAGCAAAACCTTGTTCAGCCCTTGGAGTTACGAGTTCCCCAAATACTTTATCCTTTACAAATGGTTGTACCCTACATTAACTGCAAGAGTAGGTGTTAAGTTTTATCATACAATTTGAAACCATACTACTGCAATTTATTTAACTGAGCTGACTAAGCTTCCTGTGGGAACTGGTGCCAAGCTTTGTGCTGCAGGTGGGTAGGACAGGAGCAGCGCTGACCCCAATACTGCAGCATTAACTAAAAGTTTCCCTAATTCACAGGATTATGCTATAGCCATGTTGTACTTTAAGTCATAAATTGTTACTTTTAACTCTGTTTCTGAAGAATAGTGAGCTTCATAAGAAATTCTGTTTGTAATGGCTGAAACCATATTTTGCCATTTGAAGTTAATATAATCAATTCAAGTTTTCTTATAGTATTCTGGTTTTGCAAAACAAGATTTTATCCTTAATGCATCATCAGTAGAACAGTCAGTTTACAGGAGCCATGGTAAAATTAAATTACATTATTTTGCAAGCCAGTAGTCTTGAAATATATCGGTGTAGCAACAGCAAACACAGAGCTCACACATTTTGGTAAATATGATCATTATTTCTCACTTCTTGTTGCCCTTGTACCTGCAGCCACATGAAGGGTGAACTGTTGATTATTTCCACTCTAAGTCCTGGCACTGACTTTTTCCAGCTACTGTTATTTTTTTACTGAACCATCCAATAATTACTAAGAGGAGAGATGAAGAGCAATATTTTCTTGTGCATGTTTATTCCAACATGTTTATGCAGTTTCATTAAGTTTAGCAGAAGCTGGCTGGTTTAATATCTCTGCTTTACTATATAGTGTTCTTTCATCTTTAGGTCTTACAGTTTATTAACAACTGGTGTTAGGTTAAAAAGATGGAAGGTACACAAAAGTGGAGCCTTTCACAACTAAGTTATGTGTTTGGTAACAGAGGGTTTGAGGGGCACTCTCAAATATTTTGTTAAAATTGTTTGGGGGTCTGGGGCAAAAAGGGAGCAGCACAAAAGGGAACAGTAGTTTGGGAGTTTATGGGGATGTGTTTCAGCCCCCTGCTCTAATGGTGTTTCCTGATTTTTGCTCAAGGTAGGCAGTGTCATACATGGAGAACCTGTGTTATTTTCTAAGTCATTAGGGCCTGTGTTTTGGGCACAGAAAATCAAAGAAACCAAGCATTACTGGAAGAGATTAAACCACTGGTTTCAACTGGATCCATTCAGATACATGGTGTGAACTAACTAGACTAGTTTAAGGTGAAACTAAACTGCAAGTGCACTTCAACCATTTACGGGCATTTAGTTCACAGAATGAGATCTTAACTAGGCTGATGTAAACCCACCCCTCACCCTTTTTAAAACCCATACAGTACCTTCAGCCTGTTTGTTTCTCAGATCCACATCCACTGCTCCACACCAGACACAGCCCACAGAACCGAAAAGCTCAGGAAAGAGCAGACTAGATTTTAAGACTTCTCAGGGTGCAAGCTGGTTCTTGTACTCGTTTTCACTGTGCCCAGAAAAATAAGTCTCCAATCTAGATCCTAAGACCTAATATTGCAATAGTTATCAAACCTAGAAATATGTCAAAAAGATAATAGGCTGCAAATCTGGAATTGAAGCAGGTTCTAGGCCTCAAAAAAGGGGCACTGAGGCTGCCAGACAGAATGAAACCAAGAGAAAGTTCCTTCCTGCTTCAGAGCTGTAGGAAAAGCAATTCAATCAGAAGGTGTCTCTTCTCTTCCTGCCCCCACTGTGAAAAGGAACAATTCTGACTTACTAGGTCAGCATAGTCTGCAAGGCTTTGCAAAATAACAAAGATGCAAGTACTTTCCTGTGCCTAAGGCTTGCCCTCTCAAAAAAACATAAATACAAATCATACACACATAAATATATATATTCATTAATTTTATACTTTACTGAGCACTTTCAGAGATACTATAACAGCTGGGCAGAGCAGGGAACGTATTTTCAGCAATATTTTTTTGTAATACTTTTGAACACTGTTTCATGTTTCCACAAAAAGTAATGCATCTCTCATGTATACCAATGCACTGCAACAAATATTTCTGATGGTTGGTTTGTCTGGTTTGAGCAGAGTTAACCTGACCTTGTTCTTTGGAGAGAATTCTTTTCAGCTGAGATATCTAACTCTTCTCATACGACCTCAAATGCAGCCACTTTCTACCTCCCACACTAAACTGTGGCTCTTTTGTCATCACAAATCTGTTGAGTGGAACTGCACGTGCAATAATGACTTTTTGCAAGAAATCAGATTAAGAAGCTAATCAGGGAAAGCCATTTTTGTGTGTTTTAATACTTTTGAAACAAAGTGAAAATTGAGAATATATCAAGCTCATTTCAGCTTAAGGGGGTGAGTGTAAAACTGTCTTTACAGAAAGCTTTCTACTCTTTCAGAAAGACAGTCAAAATAGGGCACGCTAATAATATGGCATTTGGGAAAAGGTATGTATTATTTTAAGGCTAATTTGATAAATTGCCATCATTAAGGCCTTGATAATGGCTAGGTCTAATGCAGCTGCTTAGGTATATAATAATAGTATGATGCCTGCTCTTTGGGGTTTTTTTTTCAAGAAAATGCTGTAGTTTGACTCAAGCACTGGTGACAGAATGGGCTGGTTGTCACCACATCTCAACCTGGGGGACAGAATTCAGCTCTTAGAAATCATGTAATTGGTGACTTGGTTTGAAACCTGAGCAATTAGAATTAGTATTACCCAAAGAAATCTCTCTAGGATAGAGATTGAGATAATTAATAACACACATTTACTTTATACTTAAATCATACCTGCACCAAACTCAGAGCAAAGCAGGAGGCAAACACAGAGCTCAATTCCAGAGACACGGGACCAAGTTCCACTGAGCATTTTGATTCCACTGGGCTCAGTGGGGACCACTGAGTTTATATTCCCCCAAATTTAGGCATTTGTGGGACACTTGGATCAGGAGTGTGGCTGCCTTGCCCTACCTTATGGGCAATAAAGGCAGAGAGTTGCTTTCAGAGATGATGCAAGTCTTAGGTGGGGATCAAAACCCTGTAAGAACTAATCCCTCCCTTATTTCTAGAGTCTTAACTGAGGTTAAATGGGTTCAATTTAGGACTCTGCAAGTTCATATAAAGAAAAGTTTGGATCCATAATGCTTCTCTTGATCAAATTTTAAAACATGCAAGAGAATTTTTACAAGTAATTTTCATAGATGGATTTGACCTCAAGTAGCCACTGGAAATAGAAATGCTGTTTTATTATCAGACAAAGTAAATACTTACCAAATTAATACATAAGCCCCTAGCAGATTTACATTTTTTCTCTTTTCCCTAAGCTCTATTAATATTTAAGTTTGCTGGTGTCCAAATGACCCAACAGAAATTTTTGAGGGAAGTCATTATTATCCAGAGCACAAAAGGATAAAATAGACCAAAAATTAGCCTGCTTTGAATGGAATTTAAGTGAGAAAGAACAGAGCACATTTCATCTTGATATTTCTGATTCTACAACCACATCAATAAGAAGATATATTTATTATACTGACCAACATTTCGGGGGGGGGGGAAATCAGCATCAGAATAGCTCTTTTGTCATTAAAGATTTCATGATGGCAGTTGAAAAGGTGTCATTTGTTTTTAATATAATATTTAATCCACACTTAATTATGAAAGGAAACTGTGTAATCCACTAAATGAGATGGAGTTAAAAATAGCAAAAAGAGGTACTAAAATACATAATGAATTTTGGCAGCTGCTTATATTTAGGGAAATAATAAATTCTATCCAAGAAACGAAGAATTGAAAGGGGAAGGAAATTCTCATTGTGTGCCTGAAGTCTGAAGGGCTGTTCACCAGGGCACCAACAATCTTCAGAGCCAATAGCTCAAGATCTCATTAAACCATACAATACTTTATGCATATTAAAACACTAAGGTCTGGCTCCTTGCTTAGATGTGCTGCAAAAGCGTAAAATCTCACTTAGTTCTACTGCTACTTTCCAGCTTTACCAAAGTGCTTTTGAACTGGAAAGCTGCTCTGAGAACTTCTGTACTGCCTATTTTCCTTCTCAGATTGGGGAAATCAATCCACATTTGGTTTGGTCCCCAAAATTGTAATTATTCTGTCATCAGAGGATTCTATAATCAGTTCACAAAATAACATGTGCTATAAAGCCTTAAGCATGTTAAAAATGATGGGCAGACAGCAGTTTTCACATCCTCAGGTTGCACAATACTTCTCATCATATGTGAATATTCTTTGCATCAAAAATTATCTACTGTGTACAGTCTGTATATCTACAGTCAGTAAAAGTGTAAAAAATAAAGTTGTCTTTATCTAAAGGAGTCTCTTCTAGAAAAAAAAATGTCATCTTCTTCCCTCAAAAAAATTGAAAGAAATGAAGAAATAAAAATTGAGGGAAACAGGTAAAAAGGTGTTCAATATGCAGTACTTAGTTCAATTAAATGCTATTTAAAGAATAAGCAGTTCTAAAGACATTTACTTGATTCTTCATCCAAATGCGTTAAAACGTAATTTGATCATTATCCACCCTTGGGTATGTGTTGACCCTGAAGGGCTGCAATCCATAACCAATTCAACAGCTGGAAGCTCCAGATTTAAGGCTGGAAGTAAAGTTCACCTTTTTAAAAAGTGGAAATAATTAACCACTGCAAATAAAGCCTGTGGTAGCTTCTCTGGCATTTGAGCTCTCAAATCAAGATTAAATGTCTTTTGGTCCTTTACTGAAGCCAACACGGCTTCTCCTGTATTCCGAAAGATGTCCCCAAGAGGTGACACCCCAAAGACAGATAATGAGCCCCTAAAGGAGTCAAGACCAAGCCCAGGCATGAAAAGCTTTACCAATCAACATGAAAAAACCAAGATACTCTCAAGCCAACAGGACTGGAGCCTTCAAAAATTAATGGACTGTGTCATATGAAGCTGCCAACACGAAGCAAACAGAGATCCTTAAGTACGTCCTCTCCTGTATCCATAAATCAATCTGTAATAACAACTCCTACTGCTGCACTGAACTTTTCCTTCCAGATACTTACTTGGAAAACAGAAACATGCCTCCTCATGTGCCCATTAAAAGCAATCAGTGCTGTTGATGCCTTCTCAGGTGATTTAATCCCTGTGTGTGTTCTTACCTTTCTTTAACAATTTGTATGACGCCTTCCCTCATTTTTATTCACTTATTAGCACAGCAAGCAATTACTTGGGGAAGAGGAAGAAAAGAAAAATAACCTCAGACCGATGGGATGGAAAAAGCTTAAAAAAAGAAGGCAAGAAGAGGCAGACTTTCTTGGTCTCAGAGCAGTTGCCATGGCACTGCATCTGACTTGTCTACAGATTCACTCTCTGGCAGGTAGCAGCAGGCACAGGAGTCAGTTTTCATCCTCTCTAGGAGAGGAAATTTATTTTCCCCTCACCTCTTGGGCACTAAAACTCAACCTTGTTCACAGTGCCAAGAAATACTGAGCTGACCCTGAATTCCACACGCAATAGTTCAGCCTACACCACTCCCCACACTGACTCCCCTCATTTTCAGCCTCTCACCTTCACCACTAAACCTGCCCCAGTGAATCTCTCTCCAAAACTTTTGCAGTGTTTTGCATAGCAAAATAATTCCTGTTGCTCCACTAGTTTTAATCTTTTCAAATCTACAACATACCTCTTCCTTTCTTCAGTGAAATTTGACTTATCCAAGTGACCAGGAAGACACTGAAAAAGTTCAAATATTATCTTCAGAATAATTTTTAAAATATTTTCAGTGATTGCACCTGTCAAACTATATAATGTCAAAGAAGTCCTCCTTCTACAACTTGACCTCATTGAATAAGCTGATAAAAGGACAGATTTCCTGCAGCCTCAAGGGAAGCTCTTTGGGTGCACTTTGTCTCTTTCACCTAAATGACGTCACCTATTCTCAGTATTTCCAACAGTCATTTCTGCCTTTGAGTGATTTAAATCTCTGCTGGCTGTACTCCCAGCTCCCATTTTTAGCACCAGAATCAAAGGTATGCCTTGTCACCTCCTAACAAAAAAAATAAAGTTTCAAGTTTGTCAGATCTTTCCCCTCTGTCAAACTTGTTCTTCTCTTCCATCATTAGAACACTCAAACCTATTTCTCCTTTAGCTAAGCTAAATCCTCTCTGCTTTCCTTTCTCGTTATTCTATAAACCTGTTTTCCTCTCTCTCTGATCCCCAAACCATAGTAGATAGTTTTGACATTACCCCTTTTCCTGCTTGTCGCCCCGAGTTCTTTGGTTTATTGGGAATACAGCTGCCAACTACTCCACCCTCAGCACCTGCTTTTGCCATTCCTTTATCTGTGACATCACATTTAGGCTTTTCGTTTTCAGCTTCAGAAGTCTCCAGCTCTTACCTGAACTGGTATCTCGGGCTTTAGCTTGGCCTGTGGTGCCCTCTGAGCTCTCCACTCTGAATATCCTGTGTTTTCAGAGTGTTTTCTGTCAATACTCTGGGCAATCACATGGAAGCAATACAGCCTCCCTGCCACAGCTGCAAACATCATCAGCTCAACAATACTTTATATTTCTGGTAACAAGGAGATGAAGCAAAACTGCTGTCTTGAATCAGGTGCCAAAACAAGGGCTTTGCCCTCAGAAGTCCCTCTACTTTCCAACTGGACACAGAACTATAACAAATGTGCTGCTCTGAACTGCTTTCATTCCATTTGAGAAAATAAAAATCTCAGAAACTTTCAAGACACTTTGCAACCTTGGCACTTCAGGGCCTGAGGAACAAGGGGCAAACAGAAACTATGATAAAGATTTGTTCTTTAATTCTTTGTGCCTCCTGACTTTCCTTTGCAGAGGCTGCCTCATCAGGAGCCCGCTGCCTCAAACTGGAACTTGCAGCCCTATAACTACCTCAGACTGTTTAGAACAATGACATTATTTATATACTGGATGGTTTGCAGTACACCTTTCATTCCCTTTCAGAGCAGCATATGATTATAATACCAATAACAAATACAGCACAGGAAAACACTGATTGCAGTAACTTGGCAATCCAGAGGTCAGAGTTCCAGACCTGTTCCAGCCAGGCTGTGTGACCCACTGTCAGATTCCACATGCAACTAATTCCTGCATAAGCAATAAAAATACCTGAGCTCAAACCAGCTACAAGGCTTATCTCTATGCCTGACCACACTCCAGTTCTGCAGCCTCACATCTTCACTTTATACCTTTCTCCTTCTTACATTTTTCAGTGAATTTGCTTTAGTCAGACCGGGGCACTTCTCGCATTTACTTTCCATGTGTACTCAAACAATTGAGTTCTCCTGACATAAATGCCTGTGGAGAAGGAATGAATGTCAAGGTCTTAAGCCAAAGCATTTGTGTCAACCTAACATATGATTCAATGCAGAGATGATGTGCATGCTGTCACTCAGTAAATGGAAAGAAACACACCATTGTGATTTATGATTGAGCACCTCTGAGCAACACAGCTTGGAAATGAAAAACTAGCAGAGAGTTCTCTGCAGGGTAAAAAGGGGAAGGCAGGGCATGAAAAGGGGAAATGGAAAAATACATATGGAATCTAAATTATTAAATAAGGTTAACGAAAAATATGATACTGTTCTTGTAAAAATCTTGAGCTGGTAATACCTTTTGGTCTCTCATTAGTTTTGAGCGTGAATGTCAATGTACAAGTTGTGAGCCATCCTTCTTTCCTGAGTTTCTTTCCATTGTCTTCGCTATTCCAGTTCCTGGTGAAAGAAGCAGGTCTGCACAGTTATCACTCATGTTGCTCTACTACAGTTGTACCTTTCCAAATTACCTTTCCATTCCATCACAAACCTCATTCTCCTCCTGTCAATTTATACTGCATTGTTGAGTAAACTTTACCAGAATAGGGATTTTCATACCTTGTTTTATAAATATTTACGCCTTTGGAGAAAACAGTTAAATATAGACAGTGACATACAGTTAATTCTATTTCCAGAGCTGGACAAGCTGCAAAAGGCTTAATGCAAGTGACAATAACTGCAAATATAGACAAAAACAGAGTAACCACATCAGTATTTATGCAAAATATATTATAAAAAATGAAATGTGCATATTTTACTAAAATGCAAACTATATATGGCCCATAAAATGCTGATTTTAATGTCCTCATTACTGTTAAATGATTTGCTTCTCGTGCACCATTTAGTAAAAACAGTCAGCTAATGGCGCTATATTGGAGTTTAAATTATGATTTTTTTTTAAATTAAGTATGCTCAGAAAGTCTGTTCTGTAAGAGCACTGCCAAAAACATGATTACTAGAAAAACACTAGGATGAGAAGTGCCTTTCCCTAGCAGTATCTCTGTAATATTGCATTCCCATTCTCACTTGAAAGTGAAACCTGTGTACAGGATTTAGTAATTTTTCTCTATTTTAGTTTCAGTTTCTCTGTTATGCAAGAGAAGGCAAGAAGAAGACAACACTGACAGGTATTCCAACAGTTATTTTTCATTGCAGAAGTGCTCTGCTACCAATAGATGGTGAAAACCTGTGCTGGGGGAAAAAAAAAAAATCACAGAAGAGAAAAATCAAGCACTGGACTGCAATGCAAATATTCTTACAAACAATGATGTTTTTTCACTTACCCAGCCTTGCAGCCAACTGCTAAACTTGCCCAGATGTCCATTTTTCACATCTAAAAATTCTTGGGAAACAGGGCTTTGCTTTGCACTTACATTTAGCCCTATTTTGTCAATCCCAAAGCATTTTATAGAGAAATACATGTTATAATTTCCACTTTAATAAGATCATAGAATCACAGAATAGTTTGGGTTGACAGGGTGCTTTAAAGGCCATCCAGCCCAACCTCCCTGCAGTAAGCAGGGACAACTTCACCTGGATCAGGCTGTCAGAGTCCCATCCGACCTGACTGAACATTTTCAGGGATGGGAATTTTGTCATTATTTTATTTTATTTTGCCTGCAGAGGTGAGGGCAGCCCTGAAGTGCTGCTGGGGCTGGGGGGCAGCAGAGTCACAAAAACCGGACCTCTCCTGCACTGCCTGGGAATAACTTTATTCCTATAATTAGGATTAAGTGAGGCTGCTCTCACATTCTGAGTCAAGCACAAATTCCCGCACAGATCAACAGAACATTTTACTTCTTACCAGTTCTACTGCCAAAATATCCTAATCATAGAATCAGATCTTTACTCTTCAGCTACTGGTGAAGAGAGATGCACTGATTTACTGGGTAAGATATGAATATACTCCCTCAAGAGATTTATTTAAAACTTTGACCTACCTTTTCTGTGGCTCTCTCTGAACAAGAGACCTGAGAACACATCTCCTGCATAAGAACTTCTATTTTAGCAAAGTACAGCTCAGTTTGAGGGAGCCCAGCAATGGACTTTTCTTTTCTCCCCTCATTGTGGGGTTCACAAGTTCAGGAACTTGAAAAAATAATCAAAAACATTTTTAATACCTACTATTAAATACTATTTCTTGAATAAACTAAAGTTAGAAATCCCACAGAATTAACATTCTTTGGGTCTAACCTGGAACACAATTGTTATTCCAAGATCAGTATGAAGATCCAACATTATGTACTCCAAAAAGTCAAAGATATTTCTATAGTGTAGGCAAATGATATATTTTAATAAAATAATTTACATTGCCCTGAGTTAAAGCCTAGAAATGTAAAGATACATCTTTTCATGGCCTTACAAACAAGTAAATTGAACACACTGCCTGTTTTTTTTTGGCACAGAGTACACACAGTGGCCCATCAGCCCCCCCGAGCAGCCCAGGACCAGCCAGGATATTCCATTTGCTCAGTTATATGGCAAAAGAGGAAGGTAGGCAAGTGTGCTGCACAAAATTATCAGACAGGGAAAAGTGTGGTAGGGCATAAATCCCTAGGGAAATCTGTGTTCTAATGCACAAGAAATAACTTGTTACTTTCACAGCCACAGTTATTATTTTATTCACTGTACTTATTAGAATGATGGAATAAAAGTACCTTCAAAATGGATGCACTCCTGAAGTAATTAAAGCATTTTCATGATCCATAGGTTTGTTACAGAGAAAAGTCTTTTACATTTATCTCTTTCCAGTAATGCCAGCTTGCATCGAGAGGTGAAATCAAAAATCCATGGTGAAAACATACTTTGAAGAACTTGGTTCTAATCTTCCAGCCTCAGGGTTTGTTTTTTCTGTTTGTTTATTCACTCTCTAGGGAACAGGCAAAGTAGAAGAAACTTCACATTTTACTGTGTTTTCATGGCCTTAATTTTCACCACTTCAGCCCCAGCAGGTCACTGCAGCTTCACTATGAATTTCTCAGTTTTCTGTACTGCATGAAAATATGGTCACAGAGAGGACTTCCCGTCACAAACAAATCAGCTGTACAAGGGAGGGAGAATTGTCCTTTGGATTCCATCAGCTAGAACTTCTGAAGTGCAACCAACCAACCAACTGCACAACTGCTGGCCCCTCTGTGCCAGGTTGGACAGTCTCTCTATCAGCTGTGGGACTCCAGCACTCCTTCCTCTCTCAATACAATGTTAAATCACATTTTATTATCTTTAGCATGTGTGTGTATATTCTACACTTAGAAGAACTGATCCAGCTATTCTTATGAGGTTGTACACACAGAGGTGGCCACATCCTCACATATTAAAAGTCTAAATTTATAGTCATAACAAAAAGTAAAAAACCTTACTGCTACCTCAGATGAAAAAATTTCTCTTATTGAAGGAACTTTCAACCCTACTGGCATACCTGTTTGAGCCAATACTTTAAAAACTCCTTGTACTGAACAGATTAGATTGATATTTTACAGTAATGCCTTCTGTCAGGGAAGCAACCAATGGGAGCCAGCTACTATATGGATTCTAACACGGCTTGCCAAATTTTACTAGTGTTTTCAATGTCCACACAAGAAATTGCCCATTAAATTTATAGACCAATTTTATGCTAACTGTACTCATTATAGTCTGTGAGGAAACTAGGTAATTGGGTTGTTGTACTTCTATCTTTAGAAATAAATTAGAATTCCTGCTTAGTTAGAATAATTTAAAATGTCTGACTGTGCCTGTTCAAAGCATCCATTAACAAATGCTGGCTTCTCCTCGACTTCCCACTGCATTAAACAGGCCATTTCTGTACACAAGACAAAGCAGCTAATCAACTGGAAGTTGAAAATAAATATGCAGGGAGCAGGCACACAAACCACAGTGTTAAAATACATTTGCCTTATGCCAAGATTCATTTGTAAATTCATCAAGTGTTACACTTACTAAGTCATGTTGATATGTTTTCAAGATGGTTAACTGCTCGAAAACAAATAATATTTACAGTGCAGTTAAATGGACTTATTCAGCAATACTCAAAGGCACAAACTGAACCAGTGGGTGTACAGAAGCTTTTGTGTTGCTGCAGCACTCAGGGCTGTGCTCTGGTGAAAGGTGGCCCTGCCTGTGGCAGGGGGGTTGGAACCACATGAACTTTAAGGTCCCCTCCACCCCAAACAATTTCATGACTCTGTGATCTGACCCTCAGATCCTTTTACAGCAAAAGGGCTCTGATTTCAATTCTCAAGATTTCTAAGATTATGCACAGTCTCTATGTGACTGCTGTAGTACAACAAAGCCAAGCTGAACAGCAGAAAATGCCAGAAAGGAGTGAAGAGACTGAGTAATTTTTCATTTGTGAAGATATACTAACCCTCTGCAGGGAATCACTTCCCTGCACTTAGGAAGCCTTTGGGTTCATAAACCTGAATCCTTTCCCAAAGAGGAACAATTAAGTCCACTCCAAACATATCTCAGAGGCTAATAAATAATCATACTACTACTTTCTAATTTCATATCTTTGGGATAGCTAACCACAAAGTTATAAATTAAATTCTGTCTTCTAAGGAATAATAAACTTTTAGCTATCAGAGAGTACCAGCCAAAGTTACCATGCAAAATGTAAAAAATTATCACATAAAATGCAAAAGTTACCATGCTGTAAAATGCCCTGAATAGGGATGCAATCATCCAATCCTTCGGTGTTCAAAGTTTCACTTTCCACACAATAAAGATTCAGTGAGTGACGACGAAAAAAAACCCAACTAAAAAACCCAAACCAAAACTGTGAGCTCCTACTTGGAAAGCTCACAAATATAAACAAAAGAACAGATGTTTTAGTTTGTTTTGTGAAAGGTGGTAATGGAAGATCAGTCATCCATGCATCAAACAAGTGCTCTACTGACTCAACAGCACTGTGACAGCAGCACAGCTCCTCCTGAGAATGCCTCCAAAGTCGAATCCTGGGGGCAAAATCATCTGAGGAATGCTTTGTTTAAGATGTGATTAACAAAAACTCCTGGCAGTAGCTTTGCTATCTTTTGGAATTCCAGAAGTAATTGTAGGTAAAAGAAATTCCCAGACAAAAAAAAATCAAGCATGGACAGAATCCAATGCAAAGTGTTAAGTGGACACTGAGTTATGACTTTGGCTTCTATTTTGAACTTGGCTACCTATGAAGTTCAGCATTCATTTACCAACTAAATCTTGCTACAGCTGCTGCCCCAGAACAGCAATATTACTCTAACATTGGGCATTCTGCTGTTGAGTCAGAAAAGATACTGCCTGGGAATATAATCATCAAATTTAAAGTGCTACTTGATGGGAATTACATTTTTAGTTTAAAAAGTGAAAGCGACTCCGATATTAGGAAATAACAGCCAGAGTTCTGTGACAAGATACAAGTTCTGCATCAAATTAAAGCAGTCAGTAGTTCTAGAACTGGAATAAAGTAATAGTTCTTCACAAAAATAAAAGTAGAATACATAGTAGAAAAGAAGTGGGAGACTTCAAAACATCCCTTAAGCAGTTTTTGAAAAGAAATGATGCTCCTGGCATCTGGATGCTACAGCAGGACATAATTTGTAGAGATGAGATGATGGAGGAGCTAAAAAACGGGTGTTACATACAACCATCAGTGGCTCAGTTCAGGGAGAAAAAACAGCAATTCCATTATAAACAAAAACTTCAAGTTACTAGTTATTAGACCTGTTACCCAGCAGATTCCCTCAGTAAATTGTTCATTCTGTACAGTATTTCCATGGAATCTGTAATATTTTAATATTAGCGTGCTTTACCTTAGAAGTAAACAATTTAAGCTTAAAGATTCAAACCATTTCAATTAATGCATGGACTAAATAAAGAGTCAGTTTTTTAGGTTGTTGGTTCGGCTAAAAAGGTGGTATTTTATATATAGGATCATAAAATGGTTTGGGTTGAGAGGGATGTTAAAGCTTATCTTGTTCCAACCCACTGCCACAAGCAGGGACACCTCCCACTAGATCAGGTTGCTCAGAGCCCCATCCAACCTGGCCTTGAACACTTGCAGGGATGGGGTATCCACAGCTTCTCTGGGCAACCTGTGCCAGGGCTTCATCACCTTTACAGGGAAGAATTTCTTCCTATCTAACCTAAACTTGCCGTCTGGCAGTTTAAAGCCATCATCCCTTGTCCTGTCACTCCACGCTCTTGTAAAAAGTCCCTCGCCAGGTCTCTTGTAGCCCCTTTAGGTAGTGGAAGGCTGCCAAAATATCCAGCTGAAATGTATCCAATTCCAGCCTATCACAAACACTTTGAGGCCAAATAAAATTCCCCAGTATTCATAATTCACTGCTTCAAAATAAGGTTCCAAACAGGAACAATTTTTCCGAGAAGAATTTTTCCGTCTCTTCCTTTATCAGTGTACCTTGTACCCCAAGGAACAGCTCCAGATCATGGGGGAATTCCATATGGACTACACCTTGGTAAAAAATCCCAGACATCAGCTGCCACGATAGAAACAAAGAGTGAAATGCAGGTGAACAGAATACCCCAAACCAAGAGGTTGTTTGCTCAAAATCTGGTAAGATTGTCTGAAAATGAAGACATGAAACAGTAACCAGGCAGTTACCAAGAGACCTCAGGTGGGAAAGAAGAATCAGCTTAAAAATCAAATGTAAAAAGCACTAACGTTTCTAACAGTGAGATGAGAGCAGTGAAAACCTGGTCTGACATCAGGAAGGTGCTCCCTGGCACCTCAAGCTCTGCTGAGGCCTGAGGGAGAATCCTCCCCTGCGTGCCTGGCATGGGCTGGGAGCACAGGGAGCAACAGGGACAGGCTGCTCCTGGGGTGTCACCTCCTGTTAGAGGGACAGAGGGGAGCACGGACCTGCAAACTCAGGGTGGGGAGCTGCTGTGGGAGGGTGTTCAGGTATCTGAAGGTTTTGTAAGGGTCTAGCAGTCATTAATCTGGGATATTGCTGCTATTAATCCTGCATGGATAGTTCATGGACTAAGAGTTAATTACAAGCCATCAATAAATCACCCACAACTTCAATTCTAACTTGATTTAAGCCACGAGTTGTTTACCCCTACAAGCAGCACACGCACTCCCTTCAGCATCTTCTTCACACTGATATGTGGCCTTCAGGTAAACTTAACTGTCTCAGATTTTTATTTTTCTTTTTTTTATTCTCTTTTTCCTTCACCTGAGGGCCCCCAAGGTATTCAGGAAATCAACCCACTAGGTATACAGGTCACATTTGCTTCAGCTCTCAGACTGATTCCAATCAAAGTACTGCAAAAATTGCACTCCCCCAAAGTAATGGTTCCAAAACCTGGGCCAAAAATAGTTCATGTCTTTGAAAAGTAGATATTAAATTCTTGGTTAGACAAATGAAAATTTAAGAAGTTTAACATATATGCTAGCTTTCTTAAACAAGATGCTCTAATGAATTTATTCCACTAGACCAGGTTTTTGCTCCAGGAAATTCCAATTAAACACCATATGAAAGATTGGTGTGTTTCTCTCCCTCCAACTGACAGAGTTCAGTGTTAGCTTTTGGTTTTTCTAGAAAACATTAAAAGAGTGTCATTCATATTTCTTTTTTAAGCAGAGTAAAAAAAATACAGTTAAATTTAATTCTGTATGCTTCACTTCTGTACTTCTGCTGATGACACTTTTATAAATCAGAGGTAATGAAGGATCATTTCCCATGCTTTAACTTCACAAATTCTCAGAGTCTTTTGAAAGCATAGAACATAGGGATGAGATTCTAAACAGACTTGCATAAAACTACAAGATCTGTCAATGTATAATCAAAAACACAGCCCAAGCAGACTCACTGATCTGTGACTCAGACACTGAAATAAAATACTAATATTCATTAAGTGTACACATGCTTCTTCTAAACTTATTTTTCTTTATGGGTTCCTAACTTTTGATTAGTCAAAATAATTATTTTTTCATTATTCTGTCATCAGGAGGAAAACATTCAGTATTGTGTATAAAGATTTTTCAAATTAACTAAGCTTACAAGAGACGTTATGTCACCTTAGCAACTACTTTTTACAAGTTACTTACTCTGCAAAAGCTGACTCTGAACGTGCACTTAGAGTTTAAAATAATTTCTAGGCTAGCAACTGGCAACCACATTCTTCTTCATTACAATTTTAGAAAGCCATAAAAACTTAAATCTGAAAAAGAGAATTAAAAGGAAACAGAGCCTTATGTGACAAAAACGGCTTTTCATAGTAAAATAAGTGTTTTCAAAGTATTTCATTCAAGTGACTAATGGAAACCAGAGTAACCTAGAATTTCAAGAACAAATACTACAGAAAAAAACATATTTGCAGTTAAAAATTCACATAAAAGGCAGTTATTGAAATGCAGTTAGCCAGGGAAATAACACCTTACCTGCCAGTTACACATCCCCCAATTCCAGCCAACACCATATTTATTACTCCTCACTTCTGCTACTCCCCAGCCTTTTTCCAAATTAATGGAATATCTAAATTTTTCTTCCCCAAGTGTTAGGAGGCAAATCACTCATCTATTTCTGTTCAGAAGGTACACTTCCCTATTACTTTGCTGTTTACATATTCCATCCCTAAAATATGGGATCAAAGAACTGGAAATCCTTCCTTTTCTCCTTAACTCAACTGAGCACAGTAGGAGCCCTTCTCCAATTAACATTTACCCAGCACATTCCACCTCCTCATTCCCTCAACACATCTGAGTCACAACCAGCTCCTCAAGTGACTGGAAATTAACCTACTAAAGCAAAAAAAAAGTCTAGAGTTATATTAATTTGGCACAGAACTTCACAGAAACCTTCATCTGGGAAACTGGAGAGAATCCCCCAGAAATAAGGGAATTTTATTTAAGCCAGGGAAGATCTGTAGAGAGATGCAGTATCTGGTATTGAATCCACTGATATATTAAAAAAAAAAAAAAAGACGCTTTCACAGAAATAAGTTCTTGTTTTAGATTTATTCTTTAGAGGGCCATAAAGGTTATCAGACCATTTACAGCCTCTCCCCCTTTTTCCAGGAGGGTTGTTCTTCTTTTATAAGGAAAACTAAAGATGAACTCATTCCCCTTGAATAATTATGGATTAGGCTTGTAAGCAAAAGCAGGACAAAATATTCCTGCCCTCCTTATCATGATGTTTTGTACCTTTGTTTCTTATTCAGAGACAAAGTCTGGTAGACAAAATAACCCCCCAAATTAGGACCTTACGGACAGGAAGGTTTCTGCCTCCCTGGTCTGTTGGGTTTGTGCCACACACAAGTCCTGTCAAACTCCACCTGCTGGATAACCTTTAAAAAAGACTAGGAACAAAAGCTTTAAAAAGGCTTAAAAAAACCTTTTGTTCCCACCAGTATTGATACATCACCCAGATACTATGATAAAACTGATTGAACTGTATATTTGATTATATATTCTTCATCCTTTTCTACCAATCTCTATCTGTGCTAAAGTCACATGGAATCTCTGGGCAGATATTTTTTCTAAACTCCTCATGTTAACGAGCCATATTTTTAACTACTATCAATTTTTCATAATGTGTTTATAGACAGGAAAAGTTATAGCTCCATGTCACAGCTAAGGAGAAAATTATACTCCTTGTTTTCAGCCTCTAACACAGAAAAGCAGAAAGTAATGTGTAAATGTAATTTAAAACTAATATCTAGATATAAAGTATCACTTTTAATTATTCAAATCTCAAACACTTCAGACAGTAACTTTTTACCCATAATTTCCAACCAACAAAAGCCACAATCATTTAGGTATTTTTATTTGCTGATATTTTATCTTATGGATGTCTTATAAATACACCTGTCATGATTCTCTACTTTTACAATATACCATTCTTTATTATGATCTATCATCCTTGAGGAAGAATTAAAAAATAAGGGAGGCTGAGATTCACCCAAAACTTGCAAATCATACCTGGAGTAGTCTGTGATACAGAAATGCTGGAAGAGATGTTATTTTTGAAAATAGTAATTTAATCACAAGTTGAGAGAGCATGTATTCATTTAGAAAACTGCTCAAATATTTCCCCAGAAACAAAAAATAAACACCATGATGATGCTGTGGCAGAGGCAGTACAAAGCCATAACACCCTGCTGTGTGTACATTATTATCATTTCAGAATGTCATCACTAAATAAGTACAAGTGAAAACCATCTGCAATGAGAAGTTTTATAGAAGCTTCCAGACAATCATTATTTCTGGTGAACAACTATTTTTTTCCTCTTGAAATAAGTCCTTCTATTTTTGCCAGATCTCCAAATGAAACTGTTGCAGAACCTCTCTGGGCTGGTTTTGCCTAAGGGGAGAAAAAAAAAAGGAAGTAAAAAATAAATATATATAGGGCTAATTTCAAGTTAACATGTTTTCTAGAAAGCTTTTAAAGCATCAGTTATTTAAAAAGCCAAACAGAAAAGAGTTCAGTGTCAAACTACCTGTGATTCATGGTATTTCCAGCCAATCATGTAGTAGATCTGAAAGGTGGCAGGTACTGAACCATCACTATTTCCATACATTTCTGTTGGGGAAGGAAAGGAGAGAGGAAAGGTACCCAGAACATCAGGTTTAGGAAACACTTAGTTCTCAGAACATCAGAACTAAGTGTGACATATTCATCATAATGACTCCTGGTGAAAGATTTGGGACAATAAAAATATCTCACACCGGTGCATCAACACAGTTCAAATCCTGTCATTATAATTAAGGTTAAAAATAGCTTATGATAATGGTATTTTGTTCTATTCCAAAGTGTTTGGGGTTTTGGGGTTTTTTTGTGGGATCTTTTTTTAAACAAAGCTCAGAGAAAAAGACATAGAAAAGAAGTTCCTAAAGTCATTTCAGGTGAAGTCATTACCTCTCAAACACTGACCTCGGTATATTGCAGCAGCTGCCAACATTGTCTCCCTGTGCAGCAGAGGTTTTCTATTCCAAGAGCAATTACTCTCCCCCATACCTAAAAATATGTTTTAGCTTTAAGAAAAAGAAGATATAGCACATGCCATGAGTTAAGTGTCATGCACTAAGGACAGACTTTTACTAAACCACAATAAGTACAGAATCCTCTGCATTTCGCTGGAAGAGAGCAAATATCTTCAATAATTAGGTGAGATTCTTACCTGTAAGAATCCAGAACTTTTAATTCTCATGCTTTGCAATTTACAGTTTGCACTGCTAGGAACGATTTCAAATTATACTTCTTCAGCCTGAGTCTTGAAACATTTAGGCTTTCTAGTATAACTTATTTTAAGAATGAGTACAAAATTCAGGCACATCACCATATTTACACATACATCTTAGGATCCTAGGAGATTTTAATAAGAAATAAGCCAACAATTCTAATCTCCTTAATCACTTGCAGCATCTGAATGTTCCTGATGAGGATAAGTTTCATTTTCATTAAGGAATTACTCCAAACAGCAGCTGATCCAGATAAGAAATGCCCTGCTTTGCTCTGTAACAATTGACTGTATACGAGCGACTGCTTTACAATCCATGACAAGTGCAATCAGAATATTAACAAAATTGTTACTCAATTATTTGCTAAATACCCTGATAATCAGGCTTACAGGAAGAGTTAATGTGGGATACAGGCTTCTGTCTCCCTTTCAGGGATTTCTCCACCTTCCCCTGAACAGGCTCATTCCAAACGGGAATTCAAGCGAAGCAGAAAATTTGTAGCAGGCCATAAAGTAGCAAACCTTTGACTTCTGCTTCCCAACACAAATCTGCTGAGAGGCACAATCTCCTGACTCACTGGAGAGCAGGAAAAAAGTAATGTTTCCACTGTTATGGTAATTTATTATTTATTTATATTGCTGTAAGAAAGCATTTTTTTTTATGATGAGGGTGTTAAGGGACTGGCACAGGTTTCACAGAGAAGTAGGAATGCCCCATATCTGAAAATATTCAGGGCCAGGTTGGACAAGGCTCTGAGCAACCTGATCTAGTTCAAGACGCCCCTGCTCACTGCAAGGGGCTTGCACTAGATGGCCTTTAAAGATCCAGCCCAAATGATCTGGAATTAAGAAACACACAGTGAAACTCTTCTGTGCCTGCACCACTGATACAGAAAACATTTATGTTTCCACAAAGAATATACTTGCCTTGTAAGTCTTCCATGACCTCAAACAATCCTGGGTAGTTGACCTGGATTTCATCAGTATCCTGCAAGAATTGAGAAGCTCAGTTTTAGAGCACATCAAGCTAAACCAGCAGCATTATGCCAACCTTCAGAGCTGTTAATGGACTATTCCCTGCCCATGGCAGAGGGGTTGGAGCTGATCATCTTTAAAGGTCCCTTCCAACCCAAACCATTCTATGATTCTATTCATCTGCCTCTTCTGCTCAAACAAGGTATTTCTCAGAACATACTGTCTTAACATTTCTAAAAGGTTTTGCTTAGTAGCCCAAATACAACCAAATTTTAATCGAAATGCCATTATTTTCTTCTTGCTTTCACAAGAAACAGCAAGTGTCTAAAGGCTTTTCAAGCAGATCTAACATTCTCTGACATTTCTCCAAGAAGACCATCCAAATTCTACCGGGCCACAAGCCAAAGACACACTTCAGTTGGTCCCATTAATCAACACAAAGCCAAGAACAGCAACAGCCCAAGCTACTTCAGAAGCTTATTCAGCAAAGGTGCACGACACACAGAAGGAAGCAGCACATTACTAACACATTAGTAAACAGTGATTTTTATATCCCAGCAGCTCTGGATTGTTCAGTGTGGTTGTTCTGCTGTTTGTAATTACCACAGTCAGGGTGTTGAAGCCAGCTCTGGACAGCAGATGTCCCAAGTCAGCGACAGCAGTGAAGGGCGACACGTGAGGGGAAAAGCCGCCTTCCCTCTCCAGCTCTGCCAGCTGCAAAGAGCAGCGCAGCTCGTACAGGGTGTCCCCCCCAAACATTGCCCCAATGAACACCCCATCGGGCTTGAGAACGTGGTGGATCTGCAACACAGAAATAAAAATGGGGTTTGACATTATGTAATTAAGAAGTTCTTAGGAGTTTGTTTTTTCATGAACTCCAAAGCAGTCATCTTAATAGTTGTTTTAACAAATCTTTAACACTGAGTGCATTCTGCCACAGCTTCTGGTAACAATGCAAACAAATAATCGGTCTGAAAAAGGACTATTTTTTCTTAAGAAATAGTAAATCTCACTGTAGAAATTACACTGAGAGTCAGGAAGCCTAGAAGGAACTGTGGAAATTGAGGGTAAAACTATTTTCAGCTGGATATTCCTAAAACAATATCCTCAATTAATTTACTTCTGAAAATAGGGTAGATTAAGACAGATTCTGCTGGCTTTTACTTTGTCAGATGACAGCAGCAAAAGCACTTTTTAATGCCTTTATTTAAGGAGGCCTTAATTTCCAGTAGTGATCTTTCCACTTCTGAGAGACAATACAGTATTATGCCTACCCCTACTTATTTTTAACTGGTCAGAACAGCAACATCACAACTCAAACATCAAACTTCTTTCTTGTCTCCTAAGTTTTAGTGAGAAAGCCAATAAATTCATGCCTCTTTTCCTAAGAATTGGCAGTGATCCCTGGTTTAGATATCCAGAAGAGCATTATTAGATAATCAGGCTAACAAGAGTTTCTTCTAAAACTTCCAGCAGTTTAAAAGAAAAATATTCTCAATTATTTTTTATTTAAGTATTAATCAAGTTACCTTTCCTGTGCTAGCAAAAAAGCCTTTAATTGACAGGTAAGAATATCAAGCAGTTAAAGGCAGTTTCCATTAGTTAAAGCCAGTGGTACCAGCACAGGAAATGAGCATCCATGATGAAAGTTGGCCAAGAAACTCAGTTCCCTCCCCTGTGTGGGACATTATATTGTCTTTACTGTGGGAGTAAAAATGTTTGACACTCTCTAGAACACTTACATTCCTGTGAAAATTATATATTTCTTTCCAAGTATTTTTCTTTTAAGTACTGAAGGCGTTCCAATTTATTATTTCCATAACAATAGGGTATTCCTATTCCTGCCAAGAAAGACTGGACGTGGCACTTCGCCTTCCAGGTGAAGGAATAGCACTGGAATGACTGACTAATTTGAAACAAATGAAAAAAACCCCAACAAACTGGTTAAAATACTTCTCGCTCCAAGGTTTTGATTTGACTGAAGTTTACACCTGCAGTAAAGAGATGAACTAATCCAAAATAAGATTTTTTTTTTCAGAAACAGTTTTGGTTTTCTGTCCTCAACAAATATTTGCTTGACTTCAAAATGAAAAAGCCTTTTTCTGTATTGCCTCAGGTGACACTAGTTACCATGATCACAGCTGTTGAGAATTCAAAATATTATATAAACATGTTGTTTCAGTTATTTATTCCAAATTGATTTGAGGCAGTAAATTAGTAGCAATATCAAGTGATGCTCCTCAAGCTGCCAAGAATATTGCAAAAAATACTTGTGTGCAACGTGAGCTATTTCTGTGCCTCTTATTTAAAGAAGATCTGGAAATATAGAGTGCTCTCAATGCAAGTGATGGCTTTTAGTATTAAAAAACAGTTTCTTACCTCTTTAAAAGCTTTAGGAAGGTCATTCACCCAATGCAAACTGAAATAACAGAAGCATACATTTTCTAATCATATATTTAATAAGATTCAGGGAATGCACCTAACTGTTTAATTAACTAAGTAAGTTTCAGGAGCCAAAGCCACAAATTAGTTTCTCAAGCTGCAACTGTTCTGAAACACCTGCCTAAAAGTGGTACTAAACAAAACCAAAAGTTGGTAAAAATAGATTTTTTTTTTCCTTTTAGGTTTTTTTGTTAAATTGAGAAGACTCCAGTCTGGGAGACTAGTTTGTCAAAATACAGGGAAGAGAGAAACTACAAGTGTTTTGAAGGAAAACAAATCAACTAGGAAGAAGCACCAGGACAGAAGTTTTTTCCAATGTAGGCTCATATTAACTACTCAAGTGCATTCCTTACTGCTCTTTAATGGACTATTAATCTATTTCGGTTTTATTTTCTTTAAGCTACTCTGAAAAGAATGTTACTTAACATTTTTAACAAAGCAAAAATAAATAAATAAATAAATGATTAATGCATACCTTAAGCTGCTAACAACAAGGTCAAATGTGTTTTCTTTGAAAGGAAGGAATTCCTCATCAGCTACAACCTTGACCGTGGGGATTTCAGTTTCTACAGCATTTTTCTAATGTTGGGTTAGAAGAAAAACAACACCAGAAACTCACTTCTTCTGCTTTCCTGCATTACAGAATTGAAGCACATTAATGGCCTTCAAAAAGCTGCTTACCAAAGCATTCTCTGCCACATCAACTTGAATAAGTTTTTCAACTGTTTCCTGAAAAAAATTTTAAAAGTCTATTAAGTATTTAAATTGTTTCCTAAGTGGACATAAGCCATTCTTTTGGAACGTTTACAGCAATTTATTGTAACTTAGAAAGAGTCCTTTCATCTCTTGATAAAAGCTTTATATAAAGCAGAAAACATTTTTCCCTGCCCAACATGGCACTTATTCCCAGGGAGAGCAGGTGAGGCAGAAGGGGTAACAGAAAATACATTCTGGATTTTTAGGCCTAAGTTTAGCTAAATATAAACCATATATATATAAATATAAATAGCCTAGGAAGCACCTTTAGTTACAGCATGGTTCATGAAAGGGAAACTGTGCATGGCTTAAAAGTTTTCATAATTATGCTTCTCTTTAACAACTGTGTCAAACAGATTGATCAAAAAACATGTATATTCCTCCTCAAAACTAAAAGTCGTATAATGGAGAGCTTCCCTTGCACTGTCATTTCTCAAGTTTTCACTGGCAATAAATCAGGAATGGCCCACAAAACACACAGCTTTGGACTATAACTACAGGTGTGAAGGGGAGAAGGGAGGAAGATTTACCTCATCAAGACCCAGAAGATTAAGTTATAACCGAGCCCTATTTGAAAACTCACTTTAAACACTTTTAAGAATGAAGAGCCAGTACCTTGGTTAAATGCTGCGCTATATAACCTCGTCCAGAGCCAACGTCCAAAGCCAGAGGAAACGTTCTGAAGGACAAGATTAGCAAAATAAAACACAATCGGGACTTAAGAACATTTTATGTTTTACACTAAGTTAAGTTTCACCTGTTAATTCCTAAAGGCCTCACGAAACTCAACCCATGGAGCGTCCTCTTGTGGGACCAGCGGTTCTCACCTGGTGATGTCAAACACCCTGTCCGCGATCCTGCCGCCGACCTGGGGGGAGAGCCCGCGGTCAATTAGGATCAATTAGACTGGAAAAGATCTCTGAGACCATCGAGTCCAACCTGTGACCCAATACCATCTTGTCAACCAGACCCTGGAACTGAGTGCCACGTCCAGTCTTTCCTTAAAAACCTCCAGGGACGGGGACTCCATCACCTCCCTGGGCAGCCCCTTCCAATGTCTAATCACCCCTTCCGTGGAGAAATTCTTCCCGATGTCCAACCTTAACCTCCTCTGGCACAGCTTGAGACTGTGCCCTCTCATCTTGTCACCAGTTCCCTGGGAGCAGAGCTCAGCTTCCCCCCGGCTACACTCTCCTGTCAGGGAATTGCAGAGAGCGAGAAGGTCACCCCGAGCCTCCTTTTCTCCAGGGTGAACACCCCCAGCTCCCTCAGCCGCTCCTCATCAAACTTGTGCTCCACACCCACCACCAGCCCCTCACTGTCGCCCCCGCACCGAGCGTCCCAGCACCGGGCACAGCCCCAGAGCTGCCCCGCTCGCCCCGCACCTCCTCCCGCAGGTAATCGCACTTGGCGGGCTCGGCCTGCAGCGCCGCCCAGTTCTTCTGCTTCCGCTTCAGCCGCCGGTCGAAGGGGTTCAGCGCACCCGAGGTCGCAGCGGGAGGAGAAGGCGGAGAAGCGGCCAGAGCCCTTCGCGGCGGGGCCCAAAGCCGCCCGCACCATCCCGCCCTCAGCGCCGGGCGGGACAGGCCCCTCATGGCCCGGCTTCGCACCGCCCCCCGCGCATGCGCCCCGGCTGGGCGCCGTGTCCCGCCGCGGCTGCCGTAGCGCCGCCGGAAGTGGAGGTGAAGTAGCGGCAGCGGCGTGGTGGGAACGGGGAGCGGCGGGACCGGACTAGGCCGGGCAAGGTGGGTGCGAGTGGGGCCGCTCTGGGGCTCCTGCGGGGGCTGTGTTTGCTGCTGGGGTCGGGGAAGGAACGGCAGGGGGAGTGGGGGTTGCCGCAGCTGTGGGGGGCACCGGGCAGAGCTCGCCCGAGGTCTGTTCGTGGGTCTGATGGGGAGTCACCAAGGACTGTGTGTGCAGCCAGCGCGGTGTATTTGTTGTATTCCCTCATCGCAGAATCACAGAATGGTTTGAGTTAGGAGAGATCTTAAAGATCATCCAGTGCCAATCTCCTGCCGTGGGCAGAGTCACCTTCCCCTAGACCAGGTAGCTCAGAGCCCCATCCAGCCTGGCCTTGGACACTTCCAGGGACGGGACATCCACAGCTTCTCTGGGCAACCTGTGCCAGGGCCTCACCACCCTCACAGTAAAGAACTTCCTCCTAATCTCTAATCTAAACCTATGTTCTGTCAGTGCGAAGCCATTCCTCCCTGTCTTGTCACTCCACGCTCTCATAAATAGTCCCTCTCCATCTTTGTTGTCGGCTCCCTTCAGGTACTGGAAGGCCACAATTAGGTCACTCCTAAGCCTTCTCTTTTCCAGGCTCAACGTTCCCAATTCTCTCAGCCTTTCCCCATAGCAGAGGTGCTCCATCTCTCTGATCACCCGGCCTCCTCTGGACTTGCTCCAACAGCTCCATGTTCTTCCTGTGCTGGAGACCCCAGAGCTGGAGGCAGCACTGCAGGTGGGGTCTCACCTGAGCAGAGCAGAGGGGTAGAGTCCCCCTGCCAAGGAAGAAAAAAAGATAGTAGTTACAGGTGTGACTCATTTAAATCTGCTGCTGCAGCAAAGCCCTGAGGGTGCTGGGTTCCATCCACAAGGGCATCACCAGCAGAAATAACAAACCATCGCCTCACTCGGTGCTTGTCAGGCCACACCTGGAATTCTGAGTTCAGTTTTGATCCCTGCTATACCAAAATGATACGGACAGGCTGCAGATGGTCCAGAGAAAGGCCACAAGGATGACCAAAGGACTGGGAAGGTGCCATGTGAGGAAAGGCTGAGAGAGGTGGGTTTGTTCAATCTTGAGAAAAAAGGCTCAGAGGACACCTTATGCCTGTGTTCCAGTATTTAAAGGATGGCTGCAGAGAAGGTGGAGACTCCCTTTTTACAAGGAGTCACATGCAAAAGACAAGGGGTAATGGATACAAGTTACTCCTGGGGAGATTCCATTTAGATACCACAGGAAAATTTTCCTCAGTGACAACAGTGAGCCCTTGCAATAATCTCCCCAGGGGAGTGCTGGATTCCCCAACAATGGACACCTGTAAGATTTGGCTGGACAGGGTGCTGGGACATCTTTTCTAGACTGAGCCTTTCCAAGAAAGGTTGGACCAGATGATCCTTGAGGTGCCTTCCAACCTGGTGGTCTGTGATGCCGTGAAATTGCCATATGTGCCTTTGGAAAGAACTTTTTAGGTATAGGTTAGAAATCCAACTTTGCTTAATCCCTTAATTTTTTTTTTCATATCTGAATCTTTGTTAATTGGGGTTTTTTTAAATCATAAATGTTTGGTTTGTTTCCATATTGTAGATGTCCAAGTCAAAAATGTCATCCCAAGAGGAAATCCTGAGCGATGGGCGGTTCAGCTGCGTTGCAAGGGATCCCAGGTTTTGGGAGATGCCTGAAAAAGAGCGGAAAGTCAAGATTGACAAACGATTCCGAGCCATGTTTCATGACAAGAAGTTTAAGATGAGATACACAGTGGATAAAAGAGGTCGCCCTGTTAACTTTTCCTCCACAGAGAACCTCAGGAAGTTTTATGCCTTGTCGGAATCTGACTCTGATGTTTCAGAGAGTGAAGAGCACACTGAAAAGCAAAAAAAGCCAAAAAAGAAAAAAAAAGCTAAAGGTAAAGGAGAAACAGATTCTGCGAAGCCACCTGCTGGTGGTCTTCCAAAGGACAACAAAATAAACAAACAAGGGGTGGAGCAAACATGTGAAGTGGAGACGAAACTAAGTGACCATAAAAAGGAAGGAAAAAAAAGCAAATCTAAACTCAACTTGAAGGAGGACTCAAAGAAAACTGCAGTGGATGTTGATCCCTCTCAGGGAAACAAAAGCCTTTTACCCAAAGGGGGAAACAAGCAAGGAGATGCATCAGGAGGAAGATCGATTTCAAATCAGGAGAAGCAAAAGTCTTCACAAGCAAGAGGTATTGAATCAGTGAAAGCTCCCAGGAGGGACCAGTCCCTGGGAGGGAAACTAAAAGAACCAGGTTAGTTGTTCAAATAACAAGTAGAATTCATCTGTGTTTGCTTGGATGCTGGTGCTATCCATGGAGGATCTTTTGCAAGATCAGTTGTAAAAAAGCTGCCTGACTCAGGTTCAGTGTTGCTGAAGGATTGGAGTTGGTCAACTCTGTATAGAATCAGTGCTGATTTCTCAGTAAGATTGTGATCCCTGTCCTTTGAATCGCTGGAGCTGAAATTTTTGGTCAGTTAGAAAAGTAAAATGTCTGATAGCTTATAAACTACTGTATTTATCAAACCAAACAGCAAATATGTGGTCTGATACCATGAAGGCTTCAGCACATCACAGTCTGTTGACTGAAAATGTAAAGATGACAGGATTGAGCCACTAATATTAGAGGGGATGAGAAAGAAGAGATGTCCTGAAGAAAAACTTTCTTTAGGTTGCTTATGCATGTCTATAGCCTACGTTATTGAAATCTGATTTTTGCATGTTAATTCTGTACATATAAATAAAAGAGCAGGATATTTCATTAGAATTGAGATTGATAATGCAATTGTGGGCCTAAAGAGCAATTAAATCGGATTACACCAAACAAGGCAAACAGAAGAGGCAACACTGATTTTTTATGTTATTTGCACTTCCCTGGTGTAATTTGTTCCTCCATTGTTACACCTTTCAGGGGTCCTGTAAATATGCATTAAGGAAACTTGAAGTTTTCCTATTTTTAAAGGATCATATGCAATTCCACCATAAATATAGGTATCTAATGTTTATCTCTCTGTGCACAGACACCTGTGATCAAAGTGTAAAAAGGAAAAGCCAATTAGAGGAGGAAACTTCTGCAAGTGAAGATGTAGAATCGGGAGAAGAGGAGCCAGGAGAAGACAATGGGGAAACAGGCGAGGAAGAGGAGCCAGAAGAAGATGGAGAAACAGGTGAAGAAGACAGTGATTCAGAAGATGATGAAGAAAGTGATAGTGGGCCTGATCTAGCTAGAGGCATAGGGAATATTGAAACCAGCTCAGAGGATGAGGAGGATTTAAATGACCTGTTTCCGAAGGAGCCGGAGATCGAGCATTCCTGGCGCGAGCTGGATAAAGATGCCCCTCGTGGAGATGAGGTAACAATACTTTCCACGTGAAAAGTTGCTACATGACAAGCTCAGAAATGTCATGAGTTCATTACAGACCTTCATCTGTGGAACAGCTTGGGGGAGTATTTTTCATTAAGGTTTTTCAGCCTTTTAGTTACAGAATGCAAGGGATGATGAAGTCAGGACTGACATTGTGGTTTTCACTGGTGTCTCCCCTTCCCTCTGAGCAGACTCACCTAGAGATAAGCTGTCTGCAAGGGGAAAAAACAAACAGAATCGAGCTTTTCAGAAATTCCAGAGTTTAAATAGTACTAGTTTTGTTCACTGATGGTTTTTTCACTTTTTGTTTTATATTTAGTTATTTAACTCACACTTTAAGAAATTAAGAAGGACTTTACAACTAGCACAATTAGAGTCTAAGAAATGACAGTACCTTGATATTAGTTGCTATTTTGACTAACAATGTAAGATGATAACAAAATCCTAATTGTTGATGTTGTCACTGCAACATCTGAGGGAAAATGCTTCTTTTATTTTTTTTCAGCAAAGCTTATTGCTGACTTTCATTTTTACCCCAAAGTTCTGCTAGAGAATTGTGTATTCCCCATAAAAGTCAGGAATTAAACCTACGAACTTTATGTCCTTTTTTTTTTTTTCAGATTACCAGTAGATTGGCAGTTTGTAATATGGATTGGGATAGGCTGAAGGCTAAGGATTTGCTGGCTCTATTTACTTCTTTCACGCCCAAAGGAGGAACAGTATTTTCTGTTAAGGTAAGATCTGATTTCTGAAAGGAGTACTGAATTTTACTGTAAAAAAAAAAAAATACAAAATAATACAAAATAAGACAGTTCTGTGGAGAACCTAAAGAGAGATTAACATGTTAAATGAGAAACTGTGTTGCAGTTTTAACTGGCTGTGTTAGAAATAAATGTGCTGCTTTTTAGTAATGGCATGTATTTGGTAGAGTTAGAGGCCAAAGCCATTGATTTCTCCTGTTTATGAGCTTGGCTCTAAGTGCTGTTTTTCTGAGACTAATAGTGAGGTTCTCAACATTTCCTTGGTTTAATTTTAATTTTCAGTGTTTTTATGATAATTAACCCAACTTTAAACCTGGCTATTTCTAAATGCATTCCAATTCTCTTACCATTGCACAAAACTTACTGTTTTTCACCACTTCTAAGTTATTAATAAATTAATCAATTAAGTTATATTTTTCCATTATTAGTGTCTTGCCTCCATCTTTCTGAGAAATGTTAGTCAAGATACCCCTTTCTGAAAAGGGTCACAGTGGAATTAACAAAGTCAGGGTTCCTGTTGTTCTTCATCTGTCTCAAAATATACTCATTCCTAGCAGGTTAGTCTGGTTAGTCTGCTGTCTTTTCCATACATTAAAATTAGGAGGGTATTAAAGGTTATGGAATTGATCCCTTTACTGATTTTAAATACAAAAACATAAAGTCTAAAAGCCTGGTGAGACATTTTTTCCTAGTTATTGTCCATTACATCACTACAGTTAAAAATTTAGTTTTGTGTT